ATTTGTGGATGTGAAAGCTATCAATAGCTACAAGCCACAATGGCCTATTCTATCTCCAGTACTAGAAGCAGTGCGATTCTAAATACCAGTCACTGGAAACTGCAGGAGGGGAGGCTGGTGTGGCATTCAGATCCTGTTGCGTGTTGAGGTCCCCAAGCCACTCCAATAAAACACAATTCACACAGAATTTTTGTTTAAGGCTTTTGGCATAATTTTGGCCACAACTTTATTAAAATACAAAAAATGTGAGTGGTTGCTTAGGCATTGGTTGCGACTATCTGACCCTGCATGGGGACAGACTGACATTTGCACGCCCACAAAGTCAGAAAGGGAAAACATTTTGGGGAGAAAGATGGAGCTGGGTACCATGCCCTCACCTCTCCCCAAATGCTCCCAGGGGCTCTGGCGTGGCCCTAGCCCCTTGACAGGGGTTCAGACAAAAGCATGGTGAGCCCCTGAATTCCTTTAATGGAATACCCTTGCAGCAGCAGCATTGGAGGGGCAGGCACAGCCAACCAATTCATAAAACCAATGCCTAATCGCAGCCTTACAAGTTGTGACAATTTGCTACGCAGTAGGCAAAAACCAAATGGCACCAGCCAATCAGCCAAATGGACAAAATTCCTACCAGGCCCTTGCCCCAAAAGCAGATGACCCCATGACAGGCATAGCAAGGTCAATGTGAACAACCCTAAATATAGGGAGGGTGGGCTGGTGATCTGATGTGCGCAGCGCAAAGAGGAAGCTCAACGCTGCGCACAGGGAATAAAAGCCTTCTTGGCTCTCAGTCGGAAAATGGCAACATCAAATTCTCCTCAATGACAAGAGGAGCCCAATCGCAAAGGTGGCCAACTACTTTTCCCCACCCAGCAACAGTGAGGTGTCTTGTTAGACCCCACCGCAACACGTGCTCTCCATGAAGGAGAACACGCTTTGTGAGAAAGGTCCCCATTTCCCACAAACCTGGCAGGGCTGGACACCAACAGCTGTGAAAAGGGCAGAGGCACCAACTCTCTGCTGGGTAGAGGGCAGAGTTTAGCCTAAAAGCAAGGGCTTGGTGTCTGCTTCTTTGGAGCCCAGACCCTGAAGGGGGACAGAGTTGGTCTGAAAAAAGTGTCCCCACACAGTTAAAAGTTATAGAATTATAGAACCATATAATTGTAGAATTGTAGAGTAGCTAGAGCATCCATGACAGACGGCCATCCAACCTCTGCTTAAAAAGCTCCAAGGAAGGAGAGTCCACCACCTCCTTAGGGAGACCCTTCCAGTGTCGAATGGCTCTTACTGTCAGAACATTCTTCCTAATGTTTAGTCGGCATCTCCTTTCTTGTAACTTGAAGCCGTTGGTTCGAGTCCTACCCTCCAGAGCAGGAGAAAACAAGCTGGTTTCTCTTCCATGTGACAGCCCTTAAGATATTTGAAGATGGCTATCGGGGTGCCAACTTGAATAAAATATTGGCAGGGGGGTGGACAGGTAAGTCCCACCCCACATAATCAATCACATGATGCAGTACATGCACACCATTTGAATGGCAATGCCCCGCCCCCCTCAATTTTTTTATTGGTGGGGCAAAGACCCCTTCGCCCCTAGGAGTTGGCTCCTATGATGGCTATTGTATCTCCACTCATCCTCTTTTGCAGACTAAACACACCCAGCTCCTTCAACTGTTCCTCAAGTCTTTAGGGGAGAGAAATAGACTTGAATTTCTTTAGTTACTTTAAGGAATTTCAGGGAGAAGCACCCAACTTCCAAGGCGCAGTTGAACGTGGTGAGATACTGTGCTTCAGTACTTATTTCCGTTGTCTTAGTAAGGTACCTCTCTCTGTACCTTTCTTTACATGACTACCGGTAGATTAAGATTGCCAGCTTATGAAGGGGTGTGTGTGAGGAAGAGTCAAGGCTGCGTTTTCCAGTCCTCCACACCTTGCAAACTGCCTCACCTGCTCCCTCGCCGACTCCCTCCTTGGCACCACAGGTGTGCCAGGAAGAGGCGTGAGGGGATTTCTGGCCCTATCCGAGCCTCCTGAGCAGTCAGAAAGGGGTTCCTCTGAGTCAGTTCCTGCATGAAGAGGCCTGTGTTTACATGCTGCCATCTGTGAAATGCTGCAGGCAGCCACAACTATGCTGACTGTAAACTGCGAGGCTCTATGTGTGTATTTGTGTGTGCCTCTTCATGAGTATGTTGTCATCTTTAGGTGACCTTTTCATGTACGAAATGGATGTGTAGAGTGTGGGCACGCACTTCTGGTGTCCTCTTGGACTGCTGCTTGAAAGGCTTGCCAATTGTACATTATCTATTGGGGGGGGTAAATTACATTTGATAGGCTTCAGCTTGTACCCTTCTAGACAAAAACAAAGGGCGAGATCCAGAGCTTTGTCTCAGCTGGAACTCAGTTCTGGCACCTCTCAGGTGGGAGCCATTGCCATTATAAGAGAACAAGGGAGGTGTTCGTGGTGAGTTCCGGCAACTCTTTTTCTAGAAAAATAGCACCGGCGAGGTCCAATGTCAAGCAAGTGCCTAAAGCAAGAGAGTTGGCGTTGTTGTGCAAACTACCTTCATTGTGCCAGCAGTGGCAGAAGAGGAAGTAGTGGAAGAGTACAAAACAGTACAGATGTTTACACTGGTCCAAGCTGTCCAGTGGATTTGGCTGCGTTTTCCAGCCACACTAGGAGAAAAACTCCGACTAGTATAATGGCTGTTGCATTAGTGGACTGTCCCAATTGGTTCTCCATTATTTCACACACAGAGGCACACAGACACACCTCATAAGGGGGCCTAATTTGACCCAAGGCTCAGCTCTAGAATGCAGGAAGTATTTCTGTTTTTAAGTCTTCATCTGAGCATGTGCAGAACGCATGCCCTTCCCCATTTTCTCATCTTCATGAATTTGGCATTAAGGGGGTTCTAGCTGGATCCGAGTCCTTATACTTTTCTTTTTACTGATTCATCTTTGCTACACAATCATTCTACAGTGGTGTTTGGAAGGACATACGTATGGAGACTAGCTAGGAATCTCAGACTGCTGCTATGCTGAGGTCCTGCTTGTCGGTTTCCCATAGGCATCTGGTTGGTGACTGTGAGCACAGGATGCTGTTCTAGAGAGATGTTTGACCTGGTTTAGCTCAGCTCTTTCTTGGGTTCTTATCTCCTAGTCGGAAGTTTCTATACTGCCTGTGTCTGGAATTAGTCAGATCCTCTCCTGACACTCTTTACAAAGTGCAACCGTGGGTGTTGCCAAAGCCTTTCAATCTTGGGATGGGCGCATTCAGGTTACTGGATTGCTGGACATGAGGCTCTCTGTGAAAGTTCTCCAGAAACAGCCTGAGGGCAAAGTACACCATAACATATTCTGCAGAATGAGTTCATGGAAAGCAGCCAAAATGATAAATGGGTTGGAGCAGCACTCTTATCAGGAAATATTTGTGGCTTTTTAGTTTAGAGAAAAAGTAAGTTACAGGGGACATGGTATGGGTGAATAAAATTATGCCAAAGATTAAAGTAAGTGTGTGTGTGTGTGTGTGTGTGTGTGTGTGTAGTGATAGAGCCCAAAATCAAAGAAAATATTTGCCCCAAAACTATGTCATGACTGTCTATAATACCTTTCAAGACAACTGAGTATTCTTTTCATGAAACCGTAGTGGGTTGCCTCCAGACTAAGAGAGACAGTGTTGTGCCACAGTTAGGTTGTTGGACTAGTCCCTGTTAGACCAGGAGTCAAATCACCACATGAAGCTTACTTGGAACTCAGCTAGATTGGTAAAGAAAAGGTGTTTATATGTGTTGAATATGCATTCTAACGCTAGTCACACTTCCTCAGTCTAACCTAGGTTGTTGTGAGGATAATATGCAGAGGGGCAGAATCATGTATGCCACCTTGAGCTCTGTGGAGGAAAGCTGGGATATAATTGTAACAACATCAACAAGTCAGTTGGAATTCAGTCCCATTGAAACCCATGTGAAAAGTGAGTCATGATGTATGCTGAGGTCCATTAATTTCAATGGGAAACGAATATTTACAACTTCCACATAATGCAACTGATTTAGCCTGACCTCTCGCCACCAACCTACTCTGTTACTTACTGGTAAAAGGGGGGAATGAAGGAGGAATTGGCTTATTTGCAAAGCACACCTAAAGTTTCTTGCCTTCCTCAGGTGAACCAGGTGTCTTATTGTGGTAAACGGTAAATGCTATTCTGTACTAGAAAATGGTAAACAAAGCCACATCTTTGGCCTTCAGATCCATGGGTCAGTGTCAAAATTACTCTAACCATCTCTGCTTGTTTCCTAAGAAGATTGTCTAAAATTTCCAAAACCTGCTGCAACGGAAAGGCCTGCATTATTTATTTCAGCATATCTTATATTTACAAATTAATGTTTTGTTCAGTTCTTCATACAATTGCTCTAATGATTTCTAATTTATGTAGATCATAAGAATTCAGTCTGTCGGTCAAATGTGAGCCTGTCAAATACTAAATAGCAAATGGATGGGTAGTATTCAATCCTAGTTATGCTCAGAGTAGATCTATTGATGGATTTATTGATCTGACTAATTCCTTAATTTCAGTGGGTCTATTCTGAGTAGGACTTAGTTGAATGCAACCGAATGTCTAGGGAGGATTGATAATACAAATAAGCACAGTATTTGAGTCGTGGAAGGGCTTGTCCTTATACTTTGTTTATCTTTATAAAAAGAACTACTCCCCCTCCCTTTGGTGAAAAAGTCCCACTTGACGAATCTCAGCCACCTTCATAGTAATTGCCAAATCAGGGTTTTCACACTTGGCAGCTCCTGCTGTGTGTCACACTTCCAAAAGGAGCATTTTCTGTGTTTGGCTAGTCAACGGATGTTATAATGTTGTGAGTCATGCTTCTGTTGATTTTATAGAACAAACACGGAGTATATATAGAGGTCAATTGGGAGAACACAGGCAGATCCATCGACAGAGGGACCGAAGTGTTCTAAGGCTCCAAGGCTGGGACGCAGAAGCGAAAGAGACAATGAGGAGCTTCCTACTGGCGATTGCGCTCTATGGAGCACTTTCTTGTGCTTTGCCCTTAACCCAGGAAGCTGATCAAGTTGCAGAAGCGGACTTGAACTTTGCCAAGGTAATGGTTGATGGTAGCACAGAGGAGAAACAGAATTCTTCTGGTAGATTGACTAGCAAAAAAAGTAGACAGTTGCTAAATGCCTTGTGCAAAGTGGAATTCAATGTGATGCTTATAGCCTGGGGAAATGTAGATTCAGTCCTCTCCTCCTCAGAGCTGCTGGATGGGTTAATTCTTCATGCATAAATACACCTTAGAGCAACTTCCATTCAGCTGAGGAAGCATGCCTAGGATTGCATTGTTAATATCTGTGAGCTTCAGTTCCTTTGTCGGTAACATGGGTGCAATGGTGAATGACCTTCTTCGTTGCGAACAAAGGCAGAAAGTATGAATGGCTAATTTTAAAATGTGAATGAATATATGTGAAAATAGTTCTATAAGCAGTCAAATATATCTTTTCTTCCAATCAGAAATACATAGAAAACTACTATCCTGATTCGGCATCGACGCCTGTCATAAGAAGCAAAGGAAGCGACGATATTCCTGCTGACAAAATACGGCTGATGCAGGAACGCTTTGGGCTGAAAGTGACAGGCAGATTGGATTCAAACACTTTGGCTTTAATGAGGAAGCCCAGGTGTGGGGTTCCTGATGTAGCAGAATACAGCACCTTTCCTGGGGATCCAGCATGGAAGAAAACAAAACTGACATATAGGTAAGGTTTCAGTACACTTAACTGATTTTAAGATGCCATTGGAAGATGCTAGAAATGTTGGCATTCCTCAGTAAGAATAGTAATGGTCTTTCCTCAAAGTTGTCTAGTCCATCATGATTGATCTTCCTGCATAATGAAGAGTTGGGGCACAATTAATTACAGTGCTCCCTTGGTTCTCAAATGACTTGGAACTCAAACACCTTGGTTCTCAAATGCCGAAAACCCGGAAGTAAGTGTTCCGGTTTTCAAATGTTTTTCAGAAGTCGAACATGGCTATAGCTATTGTTTCCAGGGCACCTGCACCAATCAGAAGCTGTGCCTTGGTTTTCGGACATTTTGGAAGTCAAATGGACTTCCAGAATTGATTAAGTTTGGCGGTTTTGTTTTTGCTACTTAATTTGCTTTTTTATTTTTGAAGCTTTTTTGGTTAATTTGTTTTTGTGACTGTGTGGAACCCAGTTCAGCTATTGATTGATTGATTGATTGTGTGACTGTGGAAATAGATAAAAGCCCCCCATCCAAACAATGACTATCATCAGTGCAGGTAAGAAAAAATAATAATTTTAATTTTAATCATCTACAATACTATCTTATTTATTTTATAGTACAGGACATTGTTGATTGCTTTCATTTTATGGATCAATGGTCTCGTTGGATAGTAAAATTCATGTTAAATTGCTGTTTTAGGTGTTGTTTTTAAAAGTCTGGAATGGATTAATCCATTTTGCATTACTTTCTATGAGGAAAGCGCTCCTTGGTTTTGGAACGCTTTGGTTTGGGAACAGACTTCCGGAAGGGATTAAGTTTGAGAACCAATGTACCACTGTAGTTCATAGTTTGCAAGAAGCTTAAAAGCCTGCTCATCATTTCATCGCTTTGATGCACCTAGAAATACAAGGAGCATGGATTTTGTGTCAGATGTGCTGAGATGTAGAAAGATGTCCCTCTTTCACCAGAGACTTCGAAAGCTGTGTGGTGCCATTTCTTTCATACGTACTTTTTCTTTACAACTCTGTGTTTCACAGCGTTCTGAATTACACGCCAGACATGGACCGCACTGACGTAGATGTTGCCATCGAGAGAGCTTGGAAAGTTTGGAGTGATGTGACTCCCCTGACCTTCACCAGGGTTTATGGGAAACCTGCAGATATTGAGATCTCCTTTGCTGCTAGATGTAAGTAAACCACACACAAATAGATATAGGTAGTTTTACTCAGGTTCCTGGCCAGGCGACTTATACACATATTCTTTGATTTATTTATTTTTAAAGCTCATGGTGACTATATCCCGTTCGATGGACCAGGCGGGCAATTGGCTCATGCATTTTCACCTGCTTATGGTGGAAATGCCCATTTCGATGAGGATGAATCCTGGGTGCGGGATTTAACAGGTAATTTGTTTACTTTTGTCTCAATATATTCAGCTGTACACTTGCTTGTAATGGCTTTCAGTGTGACTCTTATTTACATATACTGCAAAATAGTGAGACACGGATACCATTCTAATCCTAGGATATAAAAATGCTTACCGTATTTTTCTGTGTATAAGATGCCCCCGTGTATAAGACGACCCCTATTTTTTTAAACCCAAAATTAAGAAATTAAGTTGTTTAGCTTTTTTGGGGGGTGGGGTAGGTCACTTCCACCAATCGCTCACCCGCCTGCCCATCACTGCTGATCGCTTGCCACAGCCACTGCTGATCGCACACCTCGCCGCAGCCGCCAATTGTCTGCCCTCTTGCCGCCACCAACAGCCCACCCGCCCACTTGCCACAGCCAATCACCAGCAGGCCTTGCCGCAGCCACCAATCACCCGCCCAATCACCGCTGCCAATCTCCTGCTTGCTGTTGCCATTAATCGCACGTCCCCCCTCTGCATTCACTATCTGTGTATAAGACGACACCCAATTTTTGCCTGATTTTTTTTAGCAAAAAGCATCACCTTATACATGGAAAAATATGGTGTGTGTTTAGGGGCCTTCCTCTACATTTCTGACATACAAAAGCAACCTGTCTTCAGATGGCCAAACTATGGGAGTCACTACTACAAGATGCTGCAATGGCCCCCAGTGTGGGTGGCTTTAAAGGGGATTAGACAAATTCATGGGGGATAAGCCTATCAATGGCTTCTAGTGCATCCCAACTTCATGACTCTAATAGCAGTTGCTAAGAATTGCAAGTGGAAAAGGCACTGTTGCTCTCAGATCATGTTTGAGGCTTCTGGAGGCTGCTCCATTAGGACAAATGGAGTGCTGCCTCCTTTAGCCTTCCTTCCTTTTGACCTGCAACCATTCTGACGGGTGGCCCTGCCTTTCAGCTTCCTGCTCCTTAATCTCAGTGCCCTTGCAGAACTCAGCAGGGAGGTGGATGGGGACAACCCTGGAATTAGTAAGCTCTGACTGTCATTGGCGCTGGCCGAGTCTGCTGCTTGCCCTTCTGACTCCAACTTTACCAGTCCCAATGAGTGACAGTCCCCACTGCCACTGTGAGCACAGCATGTGAGTTTAGATGGGTCTTGGGTGCTTATCTAGCAGGACTCTTCTGGTGTTCATGGCATTTATTACTTCAAAAATCATGTCCGATAGGAGCTTTTTCTTCAGAAGCCTAATCTGTAAGGATGGAGAAACGTATTCTGGTCCATGTCACTTACACATTTGTTCACTCATGGGGCTGTTCCATCCAATATTTCTATTCTTCTCAAAAAAAATTAAAGCTACAAAAAAAATTCAAAATATATATACAGTTAAATGTATCTTTTTGAATGCGCCAGTAGCGGTTTAGTCCTGCTGGCCACATGACCTGGAAAACTGTCTGTGGACAAACACCGGCTCCTTCGGCCTGAAAGCGAGATGAGCGCCGCAACCCCATAGTTGTCTTTGACTGGACTTAACAGTCCAGGGGTCCTTTACCTTTACCTTACCCCTAAATATATGTTGCAGAACATATTACCTCTCAATAATACACAATTTAAAATGCAGAAAGGCATCACATTAGAAACACAAAATCTGCTGGCTAGATACATTCTGCCACACATTAAGCTGGAAAAGGTTGAACTGGGTCATTCCCTAGTGGAATTTGCCAAAATTGAATCCTTAAAGTCCCCCGAGTATATATTTCACTATCTTATACCCAGGTGAGCTTCACAAGTACTCACAATCTTCCTGTTTCCTTTTAGGAGTCAACCTTTTCCTTGTTGCTGCTCACGAGTTTGGCCACTCACTGGGTCTCAGGCATTCTGGCATTTGGGGGGCTCTGATGTTTCCAACTTATCAAGCTACGGACCCGCAAAACTTCAGGCTTCACCAAGATGACATTGAAGGCATCCAGTCCCTTTATGGTAAGTACAGACTCCCAGATGATTGTGTGGATTTATTCCATGCAAGAAGAGCACTGGCTAAGAGTCCTTAGCCTAAGGACATTCCCAGAAGGGAAATTGCCCATCACTTTCTCCCGGCTGCTGTTCCAGCAGAAGAAACTCTGGAGAGTGGCCTTCTGAACAATATGGTATGGAGAGACTGTGGAAGACAGTGGCAGGAAACTTGACTTCCATGAAATTCCTTAAAGTAACTTAGAGTCTGAGGACAATTCCTCCTCTTCCTCCCAGCACCCCCCACATGCTCTTTCTCGTTTATTTATTTTTAGGAAGGCCCTTTAAACCTCAAGAGAGGCTTTTCAGGGGCACCGGGGGCTGGGCAAGAGAAGGGATTGGGAACTCTTTTTCTGTGAATTTCCTTAGTTTGGGAATCTAGTTCAGCTCACCACCTGATGTGAATTGGCAGAGCCAACCTGTTATTTCATCCATTATCGGGTTTGGCCACCATCCAGTGAAGCCTCTTGCTCTGAGCTGCATCTTGCAAAACCTGCTTGTTCTTCAGCTCTTCTCTTTAACCCCTTTTCAAGGACCCCCTGAAGGTGGTGAGGATGGTGATGGTGATGACAGTTCGTCAGGAAACCCAGAGCCAGCAACAGAGGCACCATCCACAGACTTGTGTGACCCTCGCTTGGCTTTTGATGCTGTTTGCTCTCTCCGAGGGGAAACCATGTTCTTTAAAAACAAGTAAGTTATCTCCAGGGGATAAGTTATCTCCAAGGGACGCGGGTGGCGCTGTGGGTTAAACCACAGTGCCTAGGACTTGCCAATCAGAAGGTGGGCGGTTCGAATCCCTGCGACGGGGTCAGCTCCTGTTGCTCGGTCCCTGCTCCTGCCAACCTAGCAGTTCAAAAGCACATCAAAGTGCAAGTAGATAAATAGGTACCGATCCGGTGGGAAGGTAAACGGCATTTCCGTGCGCTGCTCTGGTTCGCCAGAAGCGGCTTAGTCATGCTGGCCACATGACCTGGAAACTGTACGCTGGCTCCCTCGGCCAGTAAAGCGAGATGAGCGCCGCAACCCCAGAGTCAGCCACAACTGGAACTAATGGTCAGGGTTAAGTTACCTACAAAGCACTGACATCTTTCATTTCTAATTCAAAGTCATGCCCAACCCCTTCAGCTGCATTTCAACCCAAAGCACTGGACGATGATATCTGGATGTTCCCTTTTGTTTTGTTGGGCTTTACTGCTACTTCAGATGGGTTTAATTGTTGGCCTGTCATCTTGGTTTGCCATTCCTTGTCTTCTTTCAATCTCCGGGCTACTAGCATCCGGGCAGCTGTTGTTCCGTACATAAAAAGTCTATGCCGAAATGACAAAACTGACCGGAAAACTCAGAAACCAAGAGGATAAAAACTTTATGAAAGATCGGGGGGGGGGGGGGATTATAAGTTATCTAGGAGACCACTGTAAGCAGATGGAAAAACTGGCAGGATTTTAATTTCACTTGTAGTGTAACAATTACCGTATTTTTCGCCCCATAGGACGCACTTTTTCCCCTCCAAAAATGAAGGGGAAATGTGTGTGCGTCCTATGGGGCGAATGCGTGCGCACCGACCCCTCTCGCTCTCCAGGCTTCAGGAAGCTATCCGCAAGCCTTGCAAGCCCGGCGGGAGTTCCCGCGGGCTCACAAGGCTTGCAGGCAGCAGCCTGCAGCCCCGGCGAGTGTCCGCAAGCCTTGCGCGCCCGGCAGGAGGTCCCGCCGAGCGCGCGAGCCTTGGGGCGGTAGCCTGCAGCCCGAAGCACGCGGAGCCCTCCGTAGGGTGCCCCGTGCTTCGGGCAGGTGTGCGCAAGGCTTGGGGCGGCAGCCGCGGCGGGGGGGGATAATTTTTTTTATTCATTTCCCCCCCCCAAAAAACGAGGTGCGTCCTATGGGCCGGTGCGCCCTATAGGACAAAAAATACGGTACTATGGATAATATGGATTGATATAACACTCAGAGTTTGGAAGAATATGCAGTTTGAAATGTTTAACATGGGACCCCATGGGGGAGGGGTTCCAAAATTCGGAGTAATCTCTGTTTATGGATATATATTTGAATTTTAAAAAAATATATAATTTTGTATTTGTAAAATCAAATAAAAATGATTTCAAAATAACAATTAAAAAAAATAATTGTTGACCTGTCAGTAGCCCAGTGAATTTTACATATTTGTAGAGCTTGCTACAAATATGTGTAATAAACAGAGAAAACCACCTTTTACTGAGTCAGACCACTGGGTGACCTAGTTCAGTATTGTCTACACTGCTGAGTAAAAGCTTTCCTGGGTTTGAGACTAGGCAACTCTCCCAGACCTGTCTGGTGATGGCAGGGATTGGATCTGGAACCTCCTGCATGCTAAGCTGGTGATCTACCACTGAGGTTCCTGCATTGCAGGGGTCAGACTAGATGACCCTCGGGATCCCTTCCAACTCTACAATTCTATGGTTCTGTGTTTCTAAACATTCACATTGTCTCCCCCAGTTTTTTCTGGAGAAAGAATCCCCAGAGAAGAGATGTTGAAAAGGTTCCTATTTCTGCTTTCTGGCCAGCTTTGAGCAAGGGCATAGACGCTGCGTATGAAGTTAAGGCTGATGACACAGTGTTTCTCTTCAAAGGTAAATGTTGTGAGTATGAGTGAATGGCAAGTAAAGAAGCTAAGAAGGAGTTGAGTGGAGGGTGTCACGTTATTAAGCAGAAATAGCTGTGGAAGAGGCTACAGAATGTTACTTACCGAATCCTAAGCTACAAAGTGTGGCTGTTAGAATGCCGTATTAAGACCTTGGGAGGCTAGGGCTGAAATCCTAACTCAGTCCTAACCTATTTTACAGGATTACTGTCAGGGTTTTAAAACTCTTTGAAGGAAAAGGTGGGATATAAGCACAATAATACTGTATATAAATAAAATAAAATTCTGGGCTGCTGTTAGTGAAACTACTTCATGTTTCTTAGGAAATCAGTCCCACGCCTCCTTAATATATTATTATTATTATTATTATTATTATTATTATTATTATTATTTGTACCACACCTATCTGACTGGGTCGCCCCAGCCATTTATTTATTTACTAAAACCACATCAATGCTATTTTTGACATACCCATCATGAAGTTTTAAAGAAACATTACATAAATATGACTTCAATATGTAACTTGCAAAATAAATAGATGAGCAGCCAGCATTAGGCCAAAAGAGACATATTATTATAGTCAAGTGGTATCAATATCCTGGAAAGGCCTAAGGAAATCGATAAGTTTCTACCAAGGTACACAAATACCACCTGCATTGGTGCCTGCCTTGATTCAGAGGAAAGATGATTCCAAACAGGATCTTTCTTGTGTAAGCTAATAAAGGCTAGTAGATTATAACAAAGGGAATTATTATTATTATTATTATTATTATTATTATTATTATTGTTATTATTATTAAAATGTGTATACTGCCCTATACCCATAGATCGCAGGGTGCTTCACAACATTCAGGAATCCTGGGCTCTCTCCTTCAGATTTGTTCCATCTTCATGCAAAGCTCTCTCAATCGTTTTTCTTTCTGTCTGTCTTTTGCTTAACAGGACACAAGTACTGGGCCACCAAGGGAAATATTATACAGAGAGGCTTCCCCAAGAATATTCACAGCCTGGGCCTCCCCAAAAGTGTTAAGAGCATTGATGCAGCTGCTCATGACAGCAGCTCAAAGAAGACGTATTTCTTCTCTGGAAACAGTTACTGGAGGTAAGGGGAACTTACCTAGCTCAAGTGGAGCAATCCAGAAAGTTCATTGAGAAGCTCTTTAATTCAGAAATGAGGAACTGGTGGCCCTCAAGATGCCATTGGACCCCAAAGCCCATCAGCCCCAGCAAAAGTTGCCAATGGGCAGGGATGTTGAGAGCTGTAGTCTCAGTAACATCTGGAGGACCAACCCTCCTTTAAATCCTTTGCAACTGAAATGCAAATAATGTACAGTGGTACCTCGGGTTACATAGGCTTCAGGTTACATACGCTTCAGGTTACAGACTCCGCTAACCCAGAAATAGTTCCTCGGGTCAAGAACTTTGCTTCAGGATGAGAACAGAAATCGTGCTCCAGCAGTGCGGCAGCAGCAGGAGGCCCCGTTAGCTAAAGTGGTGCTTCAGGTTAAGAACAGTTTCAGATTAAGAATGGACCTCAGGAACGAATTAAGTACTTAACCCAAGGTACCACTGTATCACGTGGTTCTTGCTGCTTTGCCACACATCCCAGAACCATGCAAGACACCTTTGTTTAAAAACCCCCAGTGAAGGAAAGTCCTTACACTTTACATATGTAGGTTCACATATAAGGAGTTTTCAATGTAACTGTTTCTGCTGGTGCAAAGAGCAATGAATTCTCAACCCATTCATTTCTTTAGATATGATGAAGCCCAGAAGTCCATGGAAAAAGGCTACCCAAGAAAGATATCAGCTGACTTCCACCAGGTTGGCTCCAAGGTGGATGCTGCTTTTCTGAACCATGGTGAGCAAATGACCATCTTCATGGTGCTAGCCTATTAAACAGTATTTTCTTCCGTGTGATGGTGAGATCATAGGAGGACTTGACCACATCTGCGAATGTGGCAAGTTGCTCAATGACCTGAGCATCTCAGAACTGCTCCCTTGGCCATGGTCCATGTCAGGATCTAAAAAGCAGGTCTTAGCTCAGAGCCAGGTTGGTAGCTGAGTACCAAAGTTCCTAGGGTCAGTCCCTAGTGTCTCCCGTTCGGCCTGGGAAAACCTCCTGTCTGAGACTGTTTTCTTGCCCACAAAGATAATTTTCAAATTAACAGGAAACAAATGGAAGGGGGGGAAACATTCTTTTTTTTTTTTAGAACAGTTCACAGACCCCCCTGAAGCCCATCCATGGACCCCCTTGGGGTCCACAAAGCACAGGTTAAGAACCGCTGTCATAGAGGACTCTGTGAAGACTACAGTGCTTGCTTGGCTTGAGTGATAGTGCAACTGAGTGTGAAATTTCCCCAGAGGCAGAAAGTTTCCCCAGAGGCAGTATGTTTCCGAGCACAATTCAAAGGGTTGGTGCTGACCTTTAAAGCCCTAAATGGCCTCGGCCCAGTATACCTGAAGTAGCGTCTCCACCCCCATCGTTCAGCCCAGACACTGAGGTCCAGTGCCGAGGGCCTTCTGGCAGTTCCCTCACTACGAGAAGCGAAGCTAAGGGGAACCAGGCAGAGGGCCTTCCCTGTTTAGGGAAGTTTTTAATGACTGATGTTTTAATGTATTTTTAATCATTTGTTGGAAGCCACCCAGAGTGGCTGGGGAAACCCAGCCAGATGGGCAGGGTATAAATAATAAATTATTATAAAATTATTATTATTATTTTGAAAAACGACTGATCAGGCACTGACTCCACTCAGTGGATCTGAATCCTCTTGGTCCTACAATTGGAAGCTACTTTGCTATTTATGTTGGTATCCATTGACGAAGAAATAATCAATAGCAGAAAGCCACTGAGAATATTCCTGCTGGGTATGGTTCCAAAGGGAGGTATTTCCAAGCTTAGGGGGAAACTCAAGGTTTGTAGAAGTACGAAGGAATTGGAGGAGGAGGATGCAGAACAGCCCACGGCTGACATGGGAAAGGAGGCGAAAAGGAAATTGGCAGGGGGAGGTTTGGTTGGAATGGAGCATTGTGGTGGAGGAGAGCAGTCAGGAAGCAAGTCTTACTGGAAAAGTGAGTACAGTGGTACCTCGGGCTACATACGCTTCAGGTTACAGACTCCGCTAACCCAGAAATAGTACCTCGGGTTAAGAACTTTGCTTCAGGATGAGAACAGAAATTGTGCTCTGGTGGTGTAGCGGCAGTGGGAGGCCCCATTAGCTAAAGTGGTGCTTTAGGTTAACAACAGTTTCAGGTTAAGAATGGACCTCCAGAACGAATTAAGTTCTTAACCAGAGGTACCACTGTAGGCTCATTCTACACTGAGGTGTTTTGTAGGGTTTTGAGAGCTTCTGTCATCCATTAGATCCACAGTTTTCACTCTCCCTCATTTTTCTTTTCAGGTCATTTCTATTTATTCATTGGCTCAGAGCAATATGAGTTTGACAGTGGAACCAAAAGATTTATCGGCATCAAGAAGAGCAACAGCTGGTTCGGGTGCCAGTGACACGGGACAAAGAGTGATGCAACCCAGAAGAAGGGAATCTCCTGGGCATTGTGTTTGTTGGCCTGTCCTGTGGTTGCATGAGCCACGGAACAAGCTGCATTTTGAATAAGGAGCTTCTAAAATGGAAATTCCCCACTGTTTTTAAATTTACAATAGATCTTAATTTTTTTTAAAAAAAATACTCCTGTTTCTATCTTTGTCTTTTATTTCAACGTTCATTTTACTTTTTGTAAACTGTTTATAGGTTTTTAAAAAATCAAGCAGTATATAACTTTTGTTACATAAATTAATAGATATTTAATATAAATTATTGTGGCAAAGAATATGTATGTTGTATGCTACTTTGTAATAAAGTGGATTTTTATTATTATTGTTGTTGTTGTTGGTATATGATTACTATTGTTATCGTTAATCGTGATTGATCATGAGGTCTTAGGGCAAATTGCAAGTATTTAAAAATACAATTTGAAAATCAGTTAAAATGATTTCATTTATGAGAATACAGTGGATTCTAAAATACGTATCCCATGTGTAAAGGGTCAGGGTAAGGTGGGTCTTCAGCAAAAGATAAAACTACATAATGAAGGTGTCAGAAAGAGTTCCGCCCAAATGGCCAGCGCTGGCTCTCCTCAATCTTTTCATGGGATCCAAAATTAACTCAGATTTCTAATCTTAAATTTAGTCCTCCACATTCCTCATATTAACTTGACTGTGTGACTTCTCCTTCCCTGTAGGGTCGTGCATGAGCTTTTCCTGAATCATCACTTTATCTTTTCGCTAAAAGAGGAAACTTGCTTTTCAAGAAAAAAAGGAAATGTCTTTAAGAAGTAACCCATGAGACCATACCATTTATGGATGTATGAAATATATTACACAGAACAGTCCATAGGCTGTACCAACAGTTACCAGTTACACATATTTTTTACATTGGAGAAAAAGGTGTTTTTCATAATAAAATTTCATTAATTTCATTTCAAGCAGATAATAATAATAATAATAATAATAATAATAATAATAATTTATTATTTATACCCTGCCCATCTGGCTGGGTTTCCCCAGCCACTCTGGGCGACTTCCAACAGAATATTAAAATACAATAGTCTATTAAACATTTAAAGCTTCCCTAAACAGGGCTGCCTTCAGATGTCTTCTAAAAGTCTGGTAGTTGTTTTTCTCTTTGACATCTGGTGGGAGGGCGTTCTACAGGGCGGGTGCCACTACCGAGAAGGCCCTCTGCCTGGTTCCCTGTAACTTGGCTTTTCACAGCGAGGGAACCGCCAGAAGGCCCTCGGTGCTGGACCTCAGTGTCCGGGCAGAACGATGGGGGTGGAGACGCTCCTTCAGGTACACTGGACCGAGGCCATTTAGTGCTTTAAAGGTCAGCACCAACACTTTGAATTGTGCTCGGAAATGTACTTGGAGCCAATGTAGGCCTTTCAAGACCGGTGTTATGTGGTCTCGGCGGCCACTCCCAGTCACCAGTCTAGCTGCCGCATTCTGGATTAGTTGTAGTTTCCAGGTCACCTTCAAAGGTAGCCCCACATAGAGCGTATTGCAGTAGTCCAAGCGGGAGATAACTAGAGCATGCACCATTCTTGTGTGACAGTCCACAGACAGGCAGGGTCTCAGCCTGCGTTCCAGATTGACCTGGTAGACAGCTGCCCTGGACACAGAATTGACCTGCGCCTCCATGGACAGCTGTGAATCCAGAATGACTCCCAGGCTGTGCTCCTGGTCCTTCAGGGGCACAGTTACCCCATTCAGGACCAGGGAGTCCTCTACACCTGCCCGCCTCCTGTCCCCCCAAAACAGTACTTCTGTCTTGTCAGGATTCAACCTCAATCTGTTAGCCACCATCCATTCTCCACCGCCTCCAGACACTCACACAGGACCTTCACCGCCTTCACTGGTTCTGATTTGAAAGAGAGGTAGAGCTGGGTATCATCCGCATACTGATGAACACCCAGCCCAAACCCCCTGATGATCTCTCCCAGCGGCTGCATGTAGATGTTGAAAAGCATGGGGGAGAGAATAGAACCCTGAGGCACCCCACAAGTGAGAGCCATGGGGTCTGAACACTCATCCCCCACCACCACTTTCTAAACATGGCCCAGGAGGAAGGAGCAGAACCACTGTATAACAGTGCCCCCAGCTCCCAGCCCCTCTAGACGGTCCAGAAGGATGTTATGGTCAATGGTGTCAAAAGCCGCTGAGAGATCCAGCAGAACTAGGAAACAGCTCTCACCTTTGTCCCTATCCCGCCGGAGATCATCGACCAGTGCGACCAAGGCAATTTCAGTCCCATGATGAGGCCTGAATCCTGACTGGAAGGGATCCAAATGGTCCGCTTCTTCCAGGCATGCCTGGAGTTGTTCAGCAACCACTCGCTCAATCGCCTTGCCCAAGAATTGAAGATTTGAGACTGGGCGATAGTTGGACATATTGGCAGCATCTAAAGGTGGTTTTTTAAGAAGCGGTTTGATAACCGCCTCTTCCAGTGGGTCTGGGAAGGCTCCCTCACAGAGAGGAGGAGGAGGAGGAGGAGGAGGAGGAGGAGGAGGAGGAGAAGAAGAAGAAGAAGAAGAAGAAGAAGAAGAAGAAGAAGAAGAAGAGGAAGAGGAGGAGGAGGAATAGTTTGGATTTGATATCCCGCCTTTCACTCCCCTTCAGGAGTATCAAAGTGGCTAACATTCTCCTTTCCCTTCCTCCCCCACAACAAACACTCTGTGAGGTGAGTGGGGCTGAGAGACTTCAAAGAAGTGTGACTGACCCAAGGTCACCCAGCAGCTGCATGTGGAGGAGCAGAGACGCGAACCCAGTTCCCCAGATTACGAGTCTAACGCTCTTAACCACTACACCACACTGGCTCTCAAGAAGCATTCACCACCCTGCGAAGCCCATCGCCCAGCCCTTCCCGGCTAGCCTTTATAAGCCAGGATGGGCAAGGGTCAAGAAGATCCTTAGGGCAAGTTACAATTATTTAAAATACAATTTGAAAATCAGTTAAAATTTTAGGGTGGATTCTAAAATACGTATCCCATGTGTAAAGGGTCAGGGTAAGGTGGGACTTCAGCAAAAGACAAACTACATAATGAAGGTGTCAGAAAGAGTTCCGCCCAAATGGCCAGTGCTGGCTCTCCTCAATCTCTTCATGGGATCCAAAATTAACTCAGATTTCTAATCTTAAATTTAGTCCTCCACATTCCTCATATTAATTTGAATGTGTGACTTCTCCTTCCCTGTAGGGTCGTGGATGAGCTTTTCCTGAATCATCACTTTATCTTTTTGCCAAAAGAGGAAACTTTCTTTTCAAGAAAAAAAAAAGGAAATGTCTTTAAGTTAAAGAAGTAACCCATGAGACCATACCATTTATGGATGTATGAAATGTATTACACAGAACAGCCCATAGGCTGTACCAATAGCTACCAGTTAGACATATTTTTACATTGGAGAAAAAGGTGTTTTTCATAATAAAATTTCATTAATTTCATTTCAATAGCTATAAGCAGCTAGGAAAAACGGATTAAAACTACGTCAACTTTCTAAGCAGCTGGTTAGGCTTGTTTAGAGCATAATATTTTTCTCAAGAGGTGAGAAAAGAGGGGGCTGCTTGAGCTCAAGAAGCAGGGAGTTCCAAAGTCTAGGCACTGCGACACTAAGCGATCAAGCTCTTACAATACAGAATGGGTATTATTTGGCACCAACTCTGCCGATTTAAGTGATCAAGAGTGGCACATGTGGGGGTAAGGCGGTAAGGCCTTGCTTTCCGGACCAGTGACAACACATGACTACCCCACTTACCAACCTAGCAGCCCCACAATACAGTCATTCAGATGGGAGGTCACCATAACATGAACAGCTGAGGCTGGGCATCAGCATCTGTGCATATATGTTTCTATTCTTTATGTTTTCATTGTTCAATCACATTCGGCTATCTTCTAGGAAGTGATTCATTAACAAATTAAAGTAAACTTCTGCATCCTTTCATTACATCATTTTCTTCTAGTTTACTATGACTCTGAATTTGTCCCTCTTCCTGTTGAGTTTTTCTTCAATTAAAATTACTACAGAAATCTTTTTTCTTTCTTTTTTTTTTGGTCATCCCACCCCCAGCTTATGTTTTTAGGAGGGATTATTCCAAATCATCCATTCTTGGCAACTGCAAAGTTTCCTGCTGGACATGGTGTTCTAGCCACCGACAGACTCATTTTCTGTATTCAAATAACAGATGAATGAACTAGGAATCCAAGTTAGGTTGCTTCCCTGCAGTAAAGCATTTATGCTTATCTTTTGTGTGTACAGAGGGAAAGCCATAAATTGTAAGTGTTTGAAACTTAAGAGCATTGTTTACTCCTGTGCTGTTGACAAAATCCCAGAAGAGCAGCATTATAGGTCTACTTCTGTGTAAATTCTGCAAAGGAAAGAACCCCAGGCAAAGGTGGACTTTGGGCTTTAAAATTTCAGCTGCGCCCTGTGAGACCTAAAATTTCTTTTCTTATGTTGTAGTGGGAGAAGGCAAATACTGTTCTGTACCCAAAAATGATAAACAAGGTCACTTCTCAGACTTAGATGTGCTGATCAATGTCAGAATTATTCTAACAATTTCTGCTGATTTCCTAGTAAAATTGTCTAGAATTTCCAGAACTTGCTACATTGGAAAGATCTGTGTTATTTATTTCATCATATCTTATGGTTAATGTTTCATTCAGATAATGCCGCAATTGCTATAATTATTTCTATTTATATAGATAATAAGATTTCAGTCTATTAGTTGGCATGATCCCAATATAATGGGATTCCTTCAGCTAAAAAAAAAGAAAGTTTGGTGGCATTCACCGCTAGTCCTACACAGAGTAAACACTTGGAGGTTAAAGAATATAGCTCATCACCATATTTTTCGCTCTATAAGATGCACCAGACCATAAGACGCACCTAGTTTTTGGAGGAGGAAAACAAGAAAAAAAATATTCTGAATCTCAGAAGCCAGAACAGCAAGAGGAATAGCTGCACAGTGAAAGCAGCAATCCCTCTTGCTGTTCTGGCTTCTGTGATAGCTGCGCAGCCTGCATTCACTCCATAAGACGCACACACATTTCCCCTTACTTTTTAGGAGGGAAAAAGTGAGTCTTATAGAGCAAAAAATTCGGTAATTTTAGGGAGTCATTCTAATTAATTAATTACTTGGAGGCAAAACCCTGTGTGATGAACCCCACTCACCTTCTTAGTAATTGCCAAATTAGGGCTTTTGAACTTAACAGACTCTGCAGTGAGTGTCACTCTGCTAAAAAGGACACCAGGCTCCACCTCTATTTGCTCCACCTCTATTGAATAAATTGAGAATGATGCCATTCTAATTATTTAATAATTTGGAGGAAATGTCCCAGTCACTTTCTTTGTAATTGCCAAATTAGGGCTTTTGAACTTAACAAACTTTGTCCGTGTCACTCTCCTAAAAGGGACATTTTCTGTGTTTGGCAAGTCAACGGATGTTATAATGTTGTGAGTCATGGTTCTGTTAATTCTATAGAAAACCATGAAGTACCGGTATATATAGAGGTCCATTGGGAGCACATAGACACATCCATTGACAGAGAGACTGAACAGTTCTGGGACTCTAAGACTGGGACGCAGAAGCGAAAGAGACAATGAAGAGCTTCCTACTGGCGATTGCGCTCTATGGAGCACTTTCTTGTGCTTTGCCCCTAATCCACGAAGCTGATCAAGTTGGAGAAGCGGACCTGAATTTTGCCAAGGTAATGTTTGATGGTAGCACAGAGGGGAAGCAGAATTCCACTAGCAGAAAAAGTAGTCAGTCACTAATTGCCTTGTGCAAAGTGGCAGTCAATGTAATGTTGTGCATGCTTATAGACTGGGAATTCTGCAGATTCCGACCTCTGCTCCTCCATAGGTGTGCCTAATGGGTTTGGGTAAAATAGACCGCAATCCTACATGCAACCCTACATTCATACATCTTGGAGTAAGTCCCACTGAACTGAGAAGATGTGCATAGGATTCACTGTTAATGTCCGTTAGCTTCAGTTCTTATGTCTGTAAAATGGGTTCAATTAGACAAATGAGCTTCCTCATTGGGGGAAAAGTTAGAAAGATCAAAATTCTACAATGTGAAAGATTATATGTGAAAATAATTCTGCAACAATCAAATGCATCTGTTCTTTCCATCAGATGTACATAGAAAACTACTATCCTGATTCCACATCAACGCCAGTCGCAAGAAGCAAAAGGAGTGATGAGATTCCTGTTGACAAGTTACAACAAATGCAGAAACACTTTGGGCTGAGAGTGACGGGCAGATTGGACTCACACACTTTGGCTGCAATGAAGAATCCCAGGTGTGGGGTTCCTGATGTAGCAGAATACAGCACCTTTCCTTTGTCACCAAAATGGGGACGAAAAAACCTGACATATAGGTAAAGTTTCAAAACACTTGCCTGAATCAAAGATGTAACTTGATAATGCTTATTATTGGCTCCTGGCTGAGGAAGAAAACTTCTGTCTGGGGAGAAAATTGAATGGATGATCTTAAAGAGGGTATGTCTGGCCGGCTGTCTGGAAGCCTGATCAGGAACACACCAGACTGCAGATTTTTGGGTAGTACAGATCCCACTTGCAAGCTACTGTTTTCAACTTGTATTCATAGGAATGCTGGGATTCCTTTGTCAGATAAGTAATGGTCTTTCCTAAAAGTTGGCTGTTGTTGTTGTTGTTGTTTAGTTGTTTAGTCGTGTCCGACTCTTTGTGACCCCATGGACCAGAGCACGCCAGGCACTTCTGTCTTCCACTGTCTCCCACAGTTTGGTCAGACTCATGTTTGTAGCTTCGAGAACACTGTCCAACCATCTCGTCCTCTGTCGTCCCCTTCTCCTTGTGCCCTCCATCTTTCCCAACATCAGGGTCTTTTCCAGGGAGTCTTCTCTTCTCATGAGGTGGCCAAAGTATTGGAGCCTCAACTTCACGATTTGTCCTTCCAGTGAGCACTCAGGGCTAATTTTCTTAAGAATGGATGCATTTGATCTTCTTGCAGTCCATGGGACTCTCAATAGTCTCCTCCAGCACCATAATTCAAAAGCATCAATTCTTCGGCGATCAGCCTTCTTTATGGTCCAGCTCTCACTTCCATAACTCACTACTGGGAAAACCATGGCTTTAACTATACGGACCTTTGTTGGCAAGGTGATGTCTCTACTTTTTAAGATGTTGTCTAGGTATGCCATCGCCTTTCTCCCAAGGAGCAGGCGTCTTTTAATTTCGTGACTGCTGACACCATCTGCCGTGATCATGGAGCCCAAGAAAGTAAAATCTCTCACTGCCTCCATTTCTTCCCCTTCTATTTGCCAGGAGGTGATGGGCCCAGTGGCCATGATCTTCGTTTTTTTGATGTTGAGCTTCAGACCAGTCTACCATTATTGATTTTCCTGTGCAACACAGAGCTTAATTCTAGTCATCGTTGCATAATTTTAACACACTTAGAAATACAAGGGGCAGGGATGTGGAGATACTCTGAGACATAAAATGATGTCTCCTCTTGCACACACACTTTGAAAGCTCTGTGAACATTCTTTCAAATGTGCGTTTCATCTTCTACCGTGTGTTTCACAGCGTTCTGAATTACACGCCAGACATGGACCGCGCTGACGTAGATGTTGCCATCGAGAGAGCTTGGAAAGTTTGGAGTGATGTGACTCCCCTGACCTTCACCAGGGTTTATGGGAAACCTGCAGATATCAAGATCTCTTTCGCTGCTAGGGGTAAGTAAATCACACGCAAGGAATTATAGTAGGTTTACCCAAGTTCCTGGCTGGGTGATTTATATATATGTTCTTTGATTTTTTTAAAGCTCATGGTGACGATATCCCATTCGATGGACCAGGTGGGCAGTTGGCTCATACATTTTCACCTGCCTTCGGTGGAAGCGTCCATTTTGATGAGAATGAACCCTGGGCACGGGATTTAAAAGGTATTTTCATTGTTTCGTCTCAATATATTCTATTCACTTGCTTGTGACAGCTGTCAAGGAAGCTTAATTACTTTTGCTGGCAAACATTGAGACCCCAGCACCATTCATGTCCCACGGGACTTACTCTGGAGTTTTAAAATAGTGTTATTGTTATTAAGAATGACATGAAAAAATACAAACAACAAATAACAAGTGTTGGTCACCAGGTACAAAGCAAAATATCGTCATGATGTGTATAAGGCAGAAAATAATAGCAGCATGTTTAGTAAAACAACCAAGCCAAAAATATGCATGAGGTACAGGGGGTCTAGGTTCCTCCCGCTGACAGTTAATAAAAGAAATAAATATAAACTAATCCACCTAAAATATATATATATATTTAATTTCTCCATGCATTGCTCTACAGCGTTGCTAAAGTTTATCTGGCACACAAAGCAAGTCTTTTTCATACAGCTCAGCTATAGAATTTGCTGCCACAAGATGCCACAATGGCCATCAGTGTGGCTGGCAAATTCATGGGTGTTAGATGATTGGTGGCTACTAATCTTCATGACTATGTTGCATCCCAACTTCATGGCTCTAATAGCAGTTGCTGGGAATCACAAGTGCCAAAGGCACCGTTGCTCTTGAGTCATACTCGGGGCTTCTGAGAGACATCTGGAGGCTGATCTATTAGGGCAACTGGAGGGCTGCCTCTTCCAGGGCCAACATGCCTTTCCTTTGACTTACAACCAGGCCAGTGGGCGCCCCTGCTTTTCAGCTTCCTGTTCCTTAATCTCAGTGCCCTTGCAGAACTCAGCAGGGAGGTGGATGGGGACAACCCTAGAATTAGTTGGCTCTGCCTGCCATTGGCCCTAGATCCTTCGACTCTTGGCCTTTCTGCCTTCCAACCCACCACTGGGAGCATAGGATGTGGGTCTTCGGTCCTTATCCAATAGGACACTTCTTGTGTTCATGACATTCATTTATTACACTCCACTTGCATATCATATTGCTCTCTGTCACATTACTGGTCTATTTGATTGGGGTTCTTGTATTTGCATTCCTTCTATGAGCTGCTTGGAGCACTGCTTGGTGGGATACAAACCTAACAAACAAATAATCAGGACTTGCATTGAAAGCAGTCGTTGCTATAATGAAATCAGTGATAATGATCCCTTCTGACTGCAAAGAATAGGAATGTGGCTGATGAAATTTAATTATGAAAAGCACCATTTTTGTCAACGTAACCCCCCCCCCAAAAAAAACCCACAACGTTCATTGGTACATCCTATGGACTGTTCTGTACATCCATAAATGGTATTAGTAAACTCACTCGGGTTATTCATAAGATTAGACTACATTTCCTTGTTTCTGGCAAAAGGGCAAGTGTGCTCTTTTTTTAGCATGTAGTTGAAATGGTTTGACATAGAAGGTTCCATGTGGAATCTCCAGGAAGGGATTGCAAAGACCCATCTGAAATCCCAAAGAGTTGCTGTCCATCTTCTTCTTCTTCTTCTTCTTCTTTTGCGATCACTCATAGCTGAGTAAGATTGTCTTCCATAAACACGGTTTTAACAATGAGTCTGTAAGTGACTGTGGAGGCCAATTCTGGATCCACACGTCCTTCCACAGTGGGGACATTGGTTTCTGGGTGGGAGTTGATCATGGTGTGGATTTGTCAAGCATGCCTTCCTCCTAGCACATTTCTCCCTTGCGTCCTGAGTTCGGGTGTCTTCAAAGCCCATGGCACCTTTGGTAAAGGCTGTTCTCCAACTGGACCACTCGCAGGCCAGTGTTTCCCAGTTGTCAGTGTTTATACTACATTTTTAAAGATTTGCTAAACCCATTCCTGTTTCCTTTATAGGCACCAACCTTTTTCTTGTAGCTGCTCATGAGTTTGGCCATGTACTGGGCCTCAGGCATTCCAGCAATCCAGAGGCTCTGATGTTTCCAACCTACAGAAATAGAGACCTTAAAAATTTTGGTCTTCACACGGATGACATTGAGGGCATCCAGCACCTTTATGGTAAGTACAGACTCCCAGATGATTATATGGAATGAGGCCATGTAAGAGCACTGGCTTGGATCCTAAGGTCAGTTAGCTGAAGAATGTTCACAGAAAAGACTCAAATAGATTCTCTGAAGGGTTTGGGTCGACCTTCAGAACAAGGTAGGAGGGAGTAACAGGAAACTTCATTTCCATGAACTCCCTAGAGTAGTCTTAGATTCTGAGGGGAATTCCAGCCCTCCCTGCAGGAACGCCCCCCATGCCCCATCTATTTTGGATGCCCCCTCAACCCTCCAGAGAGATTTTTCAGGGGGTACCATGGCTGTGGAATGGGTGGGTGAGAAAAACAACTGAAAATCTTTCTGTGAACTTTCTTATTTGGGGAGCAAATGATCGTCCAGACCACCTGATGTGAATTCACAGAGCCAATCTATTATTCCATCTATTGTTGTATTTCACTGTCTTCCAATAAATTATTACTCATTTTTATTATTACTATTTATTACCTGGCCTTCACCCTAAAATCCCAGAATGGGTTTCAACAATTAATACACAACATCAATAGTAAAACACAATATTACATGATACTTTTTTAAAAAAAGTTTAAAGCAAATTAAAATGAAGTCTCCTGCAATGCCTCTGAACTGCATATTCCAAATCCTGCTTGTTCTTCAGTTCTTCTCTTTACCTCTTTTTCAAGGACCCCCTGAAGGTGGTGATGACAATGAAGCCAGTGGTTCATCAATTAACCTCACATCCACAACAGAGGCACCATCCACAAAATGGTGTGACCCTCGCCTGGCTTTTGATGCTGTTACCTCTTTCCGAGGGGAAATCCTGTTCTTTAAAGACAGGTAAATAATATCTAAACACTGAACTTTTTACCTTCTAACTCAAAGTCATGCCCCTCCTCCAAGAACATTTCTACTCAAAGAGTACTCTGCAAACACAATGAATCAGCAATGACTTTTCCCTTATGATGCAAATAACCATCCATACTATGCTCAACATACTGCTCATTAAATTCATTCAACATGCCCTCCTTGGTGCGTAAGGTAAGAACAATTGCAAATAGTACTAGTCAGTATTGACTAGGCACCCTGTAGTTTTTTGTGGTGGTTCTGGAGATGGCTTTGTCTAGGGTGGCTCCCAGGTTATTGAATGCTCTCCTTTCCATGGTGCATTTGACTCCATTTTTGGCTCTCTTTCTTTTTTTTTTTTTTATAATTGATATTTATTAAGTTTTCAAAGAATAACAACAAAAATTTCCAAAAAAAAATTGAGGATACAAAAAACAAAAATAGTACATAAACAAAAAAGAAAAGAAAACCCAGCCGCAAAGAAAAAAAAAGAGAAACAGAAAAACAAAAATATAAAGTCCTTTACAATCTCTATTGACTTCCTTTCTAGACTTCCTCCTCCTCCCTCTTTTGTTTCTTAATTTTTAATTTTTACAGCAAATCCTTTCTGTTTTTTCATAACAATCTGTCATTACGTTTCCTTATTCTATTTTCCCTCTTGTCATATAAAAACTTTAAGACTCATAGCTTATATTCAATATTTACCAAATTCTTGCATCATTACCTTTTACGAATCATTTACCAATCCTTACTTAAGCCATGTAATTTCATTCAACATCCTTCAAACATTTGTAAGCATTCCCAATATTAAAAAATAAAAAGAAAAAAATAATAAGTCAAATTCAGTCCAGTCAGCTTCCAACCTCCCCTCCCCTGGACCCGGGATTGTCAGTCCTTTTAACCTCGATAATCCGGCTCCTTAACCTGGTTGTCTCGTATCCGAGGCCCTCAAGTCTCTTTCTTGCCCCTTTCGCCACTCTTGTTGATGATTCCTTTCCAGTCGTGGATGCTCCAGCAAGAAAATGCTTTTGACCCTTTGCAGCAAGTCCATCCCAAACCCATTGCCCAAGCCAGACAGCAAATAATACCACTTCAAATTTCCACAAAGCTTGGAGACTTCGGCTACTCCAATCCTCTGATAGCCCATCACCAGACTCGGAAGGTCCAAATAACCATATGGAGGGGGTCGATCCATCCCCCATTTCCAAATCTGACCACATTTCATCTTTCCGAATCTGGTTTGTCCCAAGTTCATTTATCAAGTTCAAAGGCTGATCTTGCCCGTCCAAAGGTCCCTCCATCTCTGAAGCCTCCGTCACTACAGCAGGTTCATATGCTTGTATAGCCTTTAACTGAATTTCATTTGTTTGCTGCTGTGCTCTGGTAACTTCCATCATCAAGGTCGTCTCCTGACGCATCTGGTCCAGCTGGGCACTTAGTTTTGAAAAACCTTCCAGGAACAATTGTTCAAGCCTTTGTACTAGCATTGTCCTTCAAGGTCAAAGAAAATTCTTTCCCACGACAATAGTCCAATAGTCCTTCTCTTTTAATCTCTCTGCGTTGCAATTTCACTAAATTCCACTAGATGGAAATTTTTTTTTTTTTAAAGGAATAAAAGCAACAGCAACAATCTTTCTTTTTCCAGAAACACTTTATCCAAAATTCCCCTTCCAAATTCAAGAGGCAACAGTAGAATCAAAATGTTACCCTTCTTTTAACTAACTGTCGAGCTGGATAAACTTCAGAACGTCAATTCTGACAGCCCGCTCCTGGTTCAGGGCGGTGGAAAATTGCTTTATTTTAAACTCACTTCCGCAGGATTGAAAAGTCCAAATACAACCCCTTCTTCTCCTGCAGTCAAAGGGGGTTCAGAAATCTTAGATGTTGAATTCTAGTTCTCTTAGAATTTAATTTTCAAGCTTTAGTATATTTTGTCTTTGCTTTCTTCACATAACAAAAGAACGGAAGGCGACTTCCTGTTTAGACCTTCCCATTCCGAGTCCCAATTAAGTTCAATTTCAAGTCCAATATTATTTGTTTATTCACCAGTCTTAAAAGTGGTTCAACTCTTCCAAGATCAGGTACTCACGGATAGATATTTTAGATGCCAAATTGTCCAGGAAAAAGGCAGCGCTCTCCGATAACGGCAGTGCGGCTTTGCTGCACGGAGGAAGCAGTCGACTCACAGCACCACGCACCTCCCACTCCGGAGCCCGTTACCGGGCTCCTGTACAAGGGAGAGAGCGCTCTCGGTGCCCGCCGAGTCCCACGTCCACAGGCTTCTTCCGCCTGTGGTTTTTGCGGGTCCCCGCTGCGCCGTAGCGGCAGGACCCAAGCCTCCGTGCAGCGGGTTCCCTTCAGTCCGAAGGGAATTCCGCCATTTTCCGGAGGCGCCACCCCGGAAGTCTTGGCTCTCTTTCTATAGCGCGTCAAGATGTATCCTTTTTTACCGAGGTCTTTGAGGCTGGAAGATGATCTCTAGATGCTCCCTCTTCTTTTGCTGGTCTTTCTTTTTTTCTATTTAAAATAGTTTTAATGGCTGTCTTAGTCATAATAAGCATTGTATGGCTTCTTGTGGGTAACCTTCCCTGGGACTGTTAAAAATATGTATAATAAATAAATAGGCCCACAGGTAGGACTTAAACCTTATACACAAAACATTACCAAGAAAGAATTTTGATACAGTGAAAATAAGGAAACAGAGGGAATTGTCTTGTACTGATTCCAGCCATTGGTCCACATAGCTCAGTATTGTCTACATTGACCAGCAACTACTCTCCTGGGTTTTATACTCAGGGAGGGTCTTTTCAAGCCCCACTTGCATGCAAAGCTGATGATCTACCATGAAGCCACAGCCCTTCTTCTGTAAACATTCATATTGTCTCCCCCAGCTTTTTCTGGAGAAAGAATCCCCAGAGAAGAGATGTTGAAAAGGTTCCTATCTCTGCTTTCTGGCCAGCTTTGAGCAAAGGCATAGATGCTGCGTATGAAGTTAAGGCTGATGACACAGTATTTCTATTCAAAGGTAAATATTCCAAACGTGAATAAACAGCAAGTAAAGGAGCTAAGAATGATGGAAGGAGCATCGTGCTATTAAGGAGAACGACCTGTGCAAGAGGCTGGAGTTACAGAATGTTAATGACCAAATCCTAGCTGTTCAATAAGTTACACAGTATAGCTACAAAGACTTTATTATTATTATTGGTGGTGGTGGTGTAAAATTGAGAAATGAAGCTACGGGGGGGGGGGTGAAACTGGACAGATTCTCTCATCTCTATCCAAGCAGATTTTTTATTTTCTTTATCTATTTTTTCTTCCATCATAGAACTCAAGGTTCTTTAAATAAGGTTGTCAGGTAGTTCCCCATCAAGGCACTGACCAGTCCTCAACTTGCTTAGCAGCAGCAAAGGAATCACATCACGTGCCCTCAATGTGCAGGATATTGCTTCCAAATCCCCATTGCCCTGAGCAGAAGGAATAAGATGGATTAGGAATGGCCCTGCCTAATAATAATAATAATAATAATAATAATAATAATTTATTATTTATACCCCGCCCATCTGGCTGAGTTTCCCCAGCCACTCTCTGCAATTGTCTCTGCAGGGCCTGGGCTTTCTCATTCAGGTCTGTCCCATCTTCATGAAAGGCTCTTTCAATCTCCGCCCCCTCCTTTTTTCCTTTTTACTGTCTTTTGCTTAACAGGAAGCAAGTATTGGGCCACCAAAGGAAATACAATACAGATTGGTTTCCCCAAGAATATTCACAGCCTGGGCCTCCCGAAAAGTGTTAAGAGCATTGATGCAGCTGCTCATGACAGCAACTTAAAGAAGACATATTTCTTCTCTGGAAACCGCTACTGGAAGTAAGGGGAACTTACCTATCTCATGTGGGGCAATTCTGAACGTTCATTGAAAAGCTCTTTAAATCAATGCATTCTCAACCCATTCATTTCTCTAGATATGATGAAGCCAAGAAGTCCATGGAAAAAGGCTACCCAAGAAAGATAGCAGCCGACTTCCAGAAAATTAGCTCCAAGGTGAAAGCTGCTTTTCTGCATCATGGTAGGTGGATAACCGTCTTCATTAAACAACCTCCCTAATCCAGTAGGACCATATATAGTTGTAATGGTGAGACAGAAGGACTTGACCACAGATGTGAATGTGGCAGGTTCCTCAGCCACCTGAGCATCTCAGGACTGCTACCATAGCCATGGTCCATGCCAGGATCAAAACTGCAGAAGATGGAACAAACCTTAACCCCCTGCCATAGCTCTGTTCAGAGAACATATAGATTTGCAGAAGCAGAAAGGAAAATGTGAGGGAGGGGGTGTAGAACAGACCAATGAGGACTGGACATGCTCAGTGGCTTACTTCAGCAGTTGAGGAATAGGATATCTGGTGTGGGTGGGTGTGGAATGAACCATTGTGGGGGAGCAGGGGTGCTTGATTTAATGGAACGGTGACTAAGAGCATTCCACACTGAGGTATTTTGTAGGTTTTTGAGTTTCCTTCATGCATTTGATTCACAATTTTTACTCTTACTCCCTATTCTTTTTAGGACATTTCTATCTATTCAGTGGATCAAATCAATATGAGTTTGACAGCAAAACCAAAAAATTCCTCAGCATCAAGAAGAGTGACAGCTGGTTTGGGTGCCAGTGACACAAGACAAAGGAAAAAGTGATGAGGCCCAGAGGAAGGGAATCTCTCTTGGTCTGGGCATCAGGCAACGCTCACTGGGCACCATCTTTGTTGGCATGACTTGGTCTCTCCTGTGGTTTCATGAGTCATGGAACAAGCTGCATTTTGAATAAGGAAGTTCTAGTATATATTTGTTTTTAACCTATGGTAGATTGCAACTATTCAATGATTCTATGATTCTATTTTTATATTTTAAATTATTTTAAATATAATTTTCAACTCTGCCTTTATTTACAGTCTTAACATTTGCTATACTTTTTTGTAAACTACTTGAGGATTTTATTTAAAACTGAGCAGGACATCATTTTTTAAAACAAGAAAATAAATAGATATATTTAATATAAATTATTGCAGAAAACCATACATTTTTGTACAATACTGTGCAATAAAGTGATTGATTACTATTATGGTCAAAGTTGCTGTTGCTATCATTATCCACACTTCACCATGAGGCCCCAGGACAGGTTGCAACCGTTTAAAAATACAATATTGAAATCAGTTAAAATGAACGACAATCAAGGAGATAGGGTGGGTTCTGAAATATATCGTGTAAAATATATATCTCATGTGCAAAAGACCTGGGTAAAGTGTGCTTTCAGCATATGAGAAAACTACATAACGAAGGTGTCAGATGCACCTCCATGGGGGAACACAATCTGTGGGAGGAAACTCCACAATTTAGGGGCCACCACAGAGAATGCCCTCTCCCTGGCTGCCATCCTGTGAATTTCTGAGGGCTGGGGAACTCCCAAGAGGGCACCCGATGCTGATCTTAACACCTGAGAGGATCCAAAGGGAAGGAGGCAGTTTTTCAGATGGGGCTCCAACTCCAGGGGGCTGGTTGTTTTTTGGGGAGCCCTCCATAATTTTGGGGGGAGGATCCCCCCGTGTTCCTTACCATCAGTGAGTGGAGGAGGCTGAGCGAGGAGCTACCAAGCACAAGAGAGGAGGGCCCCCCACCCACAGCATTTGACTTCATCCCTGGCTCTTCCCAAAATGTCATGTGACATCGCATGCTGCACACATGACATCACCCGGTCACTTCACTCTTCGGTGCAAGTTGGCGCTTTCAGATATGTGGGGCCAAAGTCATTTAGGCCTTCAAACAATAACGTGAGCACCTTGAGTCGTGCCCAGAAATGACAATCAAACACTGTAACTGTTTTAGAGCAGGCATTATATGAGTTCTAGATGGAACCCAAGCCAACACTCTGGCCGCTGCATTTTGGGCAAGTCATCTCAAGTGTAGTCCCATGTAAAGTGTTTGTAGCAATAATCCAGTATGGAAGTTACTAGGGTACAATGGCAGCTATACAGTGATACCTTGGTTTACAACCATAATCCATTCCGGAGGTCCGGTTGTAAACCAAAACAGGTTGTAACCCAAGGTGCGCTTTTGCCAATGGGGCCTCCCCCCAAAAAATAAACGGGTTGTAATCCAAAAAAAGGGACACACGCTTCAGGGATTGACGTGGTTGTAATCCAAAATGGTTGCAAACCAAGGTACCACTGTAGTTGGAATTAGGCACTCCAAAACACCAACACCACCTGAGTCTAGATCCAGGAGTTTTCCCAAGCTGTGAATCTGATCTCCCCAAGGGAGTGCAACTCATAATCCTTCCAGGGAAGTAGTATACCTTTACTGTACATGGGGGTGGGGGTCGGTCCATTTAGCAAGCATGGATGGCGCTGTGGGTTAGAATCATAGAATAGAATCATAGAATCATAGAGTTGGAAGAGACCACAAGGGCCATCGAGTCCAACCCCCTGCCAAGCAGGAAACACCATCAGAGCACTCCTGACATATGGTTGTCAAGCCTCTGCTTAAAGACCTCCAAAGAAGGAGACTCCACCACACTCCTTGGCAGCAAATTCCACTGTTGAACAGCTCTTACTGTCAGGAAGTTCTTCCTAATGTTTAGGTGGAATCTTCTTTCTTCTTTTTTGTGCCTGTGGTTAAACCACAGAGCCTAGGGCTTGCTGATCAGAAGGTCGGCAGTTCGAATCCCCGCGACGGGGTGAGCTCCCGTTGCTTGGTCCCTGCTCCTGCCCACCCAGCAGTTCAAAAGCACGTCAAAGTGCAAGTAGATAAATAGGTATCGCTCCGGCGGGAAGGTAAATGGCATTTCTATGCGCTGCTCTGGTTTCGCCAGAAGCGGCTTAGTCATGCTGGCCACGTGACCCGGAAGCTGTACGCCGGCTCCCTCGGCCAATAAAGCGAGATGAGCGCCACAACCCCAGAGTCGTCCGTGACTGGACCTAATGGTCAGGGGTCCCTTTACGTTAACACATTATCACACTGAGTAGTACTGAATTCGGCAATTGCTCATTTCATGTTCACAACTTACTATCAACACCTTCCACTGCGTCTGAAGGAACCCAACCATGGGGACATAAATGAGCAGTGTAAGGCAAAACAACTCTGGATTTTTTATTTTATTGCCAACGAGGATTCTGAGATCAAGTTCTTCCATGCCTGCTTTCTCTTACTTCGCAGTTACCTTCTAGTTGCTTTTCGGTCTCTGTTTACTGATCTTAGGTTAAAGTCTAACAGATCATGCATCAATGCATAGAATAATCAGTTGCTCCTGTAAGATAGGAGTATCATCCCGCATGAATGAGTTTCACCACTGGAAAAGAAGAACTACATCTGGTTTGGTTAAGAGCAAAGGGAAAGGGAAAGAGTAGTCAAGAACAACAGGTTCTGTATTTTACTTTGCATCAAACATTGGTCCTTTTGTCCATCCACAAAAAGCTAAAACTTTCAGTGGAAAATATTCTTTTGAACTATATACCTATTGTATGGAAGTCAACAACAGGACAATGAAAATGGATTCTACGCATTCTAATGGTAGACAAGAGACTGATATTGATGAATTGGAAGAATAAAGATATGATCCCCTTTAATAAATGGATTGGCCATATGATAACACACACAACTTATGAATGGACAGCTTACAGATGTAGACTTTGACTGGATAACTATGACAATATTTCTAATGAGTTTATACAAAATGTAGCAGGCTATCAATATTTACAAGTGTACTAGGATAATAATATGAAATTTATATGAGAATATATGGGTTAGGGTATTTTTCGTATTTTGTACATCGTTTCTTTCCGCACATTTTGTGCCTTTTAATTCTTCTTTTCTTTCTCTTTTTTTTCCTTTGCATGACTTCATTTCTTTAGAATTGAAACCTTTTGAATAAAATATAAATGGCAAAACAAGAACATTGGTCATTTTGTTGCCTCAAGGCATAACTGAGTTCCCTGAGTTCTCCTGAACTACAGGAGAGCTGCATTGTACATTAGAGTGCATTGACGTGCTAGCTTAATGGATAGGTTAAAAACAAGATATGTAAATATATATAATGATTTATTTATTTTTGCTGTGTTTACTGTATAAATATTTAGAAGTGCACTTAGTCCTTCACAGGACTGGAAAACTGAAGAGACATCTTTCTAAAGCTGTTTGGTACTTGGCAGCTAAGGGATTGGTTATTGGTGGAAGGGCGGGGGCTTTGTGCTTTAGATTTGGTTCCCTGATAAGCTGTTTGGCTCTGTGTATTTTTTTTTTAAATGATATTTATTAAAAGTTTAAGAATTACAGAAAAAGGAGAAAAAGAAAACAACAAAAAAATTTGACAAAACATACATTACAGTACATAAAAAGAAAAGCATAAAAAACAATACAACAATACAGCAAAAAACAAAACAAAACATTAAAACACACATCCAATGTTCCATATCTTTATCTTTCATTTACTTGTTTCACCGACCTCCTCACACCTCCCTTTTTGTATTCTAATTTAATTAATTGTTTCAGCAAATTCTTTCCATCTTTCTCAATTTTTGTTATATAATTTATCTTAACGATCTAACCTTTTAATTAACTCAACAAATCCTTTCCATCTTTCACTATATTCTGTCATTCAATTTACCTTTATTTATTTAACCTTATCTTACCATAAAAAAAACCTTAAAACTAAAAACTTAATACTTATTTGTACATAACTCCTTATATCATTTCTACTAAAGCCAAATAGTTTCATTCCAACATTTTTCCTAATACTCATTAATTTTACACTAATTCTCAAAATAAAATATTTTTTAAAAAAACTTTCTTCCAATCTTCATCCAACGTCTCTTCTTCCTGGTCTCAGGTTTTGTCAGTCCTTCTTGTCCATTCCATCTAGTCCATCAACCTGGTGATCTTAGGTCTGAGGCTCTTAAGTCTTTTCCATGTCCCTTCTGCAGATCTTCTTCTTGTTTATACCTGCACTTTACTTTGTCTTTTGTTGATCTTTTTCTTAATTTCTTTCCTTTCTCATTGGGGGGTAGGTCTCGGGAGGACTCCAATCCAAAAATATCTCCATCTCCCCTCAGCAGATCAGCCCATTCCCCACAGTCCCATTCCCCACAGTCAACACTGTAATCCAGGAAATATTTAAAAGCATGTTTCAAAGTCCTTCCAAAATTAAGGGCCCTCACAACTCCAGACCCCCCCTGGTCCACTCCAGATTCAAACTTCAAAGACAGCGGCTTATGCTCCTGCAATGCCTTGGATCTCTCCATTTGTGTTACTTGAGGTTCAACAGCAACCTCCTCCATTATCTTCTGCACTTGCGCTTGCCCTGTCAAAACAAGTTCCTGGGCTGGTTCCTGAATGGTTTCTATATGGGTATTCGCCGTTTGTCCAAAGTTTTTAACTGCAACAGTCATCAAATCCATCTTCTCATGCATCTGCTCCAGCAAAGCACTTGTCTTGCAAAAAGCAAGCACCAAAACTTCTTCTAAACACATTTTTATTCAAGGTCAGAGTCTGGTCTCATGATCCTAATCTTACAGCTGTGAAATCCCCAGATCGACTCCAGCAACAAATTAACAAGCTCCCTCTAGAGGGGACAATTTCTATTTGTATCCATCTTTTGAAAGCAGGACCAACAAAAGGAAATTACTTTCATTTTTCAAATATTTTGTTTCTTTTGAATGCAAGAGGCAACATTGGAGTCAATTTGTTTCTCTTTTTTTTTTTTTACTATCTGTCAAAAGACGTTTCATTCACAGTCGATGAACTTCCCCGTAAATTTCTGTCTTTGACACCCCGTTCCCAGGTTTGAGACGGTGGAAATTTATCTTTCTTTACTCTCTCTCCTGCAGGCTTAAACAGTCAAAAATTCCCCCCCTTTTCTCCTGCTTCCAAGAGGGGTTTTGGTGGTGATAACTGAAGGAAATTTAGACCTTTATATACGACTTTCCAGACTTTAGCTTAC